CGAGAAATATGGGGTTAGTTTTGTTCATTAGATTCCCTCCTCATCACACCCAAACTGGATGTCCACGGTTTGGGGATGTATCTCTCAAGTTTCTTCTATTGACAGAGTTAATGATCTTGTGGGGGTCTCAACATATCAATGTTATGTTGGCAATGAGGCTTCTGTTTTCTTTTGGTTGGATAGATGGATCCTTGACGATGATGCACTTTGTTCCAAATATCCTTGTCTCTTTTCCTTGGTTATTAATAAAGAGACTCGAGTTACTAATGCATGGTGCAATGGGACTTAATCTATCTTATTTAGGCCCAATCTCTATTCTTGGAAGTCTAATTCTTTTGATGAGATTTTTGCCATCTTCTCCCTGGTGGTCCTTGTTGAAGACAAACCGAATCGATTCATTTAGAGACACGACTCAAAAGGTAACTTGCCCGTCAAAATTTTTTAATGCCCTACTTGATTTTGAACCAAATAATCATACTGTTTGGTTCCATTCTTTATGGAAACTCCCCATTCCTCCAAAAGTTCTATGCTTTTTATGGCTGGCCATCCTTAACTTTTTCCCATCCAAATGTTTCTTTTCCTCAAGAGGTGTGCGGATCAACTTCTTTGTTCTTGGTGTAACCCTATGGAAGAGTCTTGTTCCCATTTGCTTGTCACTTATTCTTTCTTTTGGTTAGTTTGGCTTATTCTGCAATGGTGAGGGCTTCTATGGTGTGTGCCTCAATCTATTTCTGCCTTCATTCAATCATGTGCAGACACTGCTTTTTTAGGTGATGTGCATAAGTGATGGCTAATTGTATTTGTTGCCACATGTTAATCCCTTTGGCTTGCACAAAATGAGACGCTTTTTTTCAGCACATTGTGGGATGCCAACGAGATTTTCTTCCTTATTAAGATGTGATCTTTACTATGGATCCGCGTAAGCGAGAGTGATGCCTCTATTAATGATTATAACTGGGGCATGGAGCTTGTATTTTCTTTAGGCATAGGCCCCTCGACTTTTATCCTGCTGCCTTTTGGCAGCCTTTAGTGGATGGTTCTGTTAAATTTAATGTTGATAGCTCGGCTAGGGGCAAACTGGAGCCCTTAGATTGTGGTCAAGGGTGAACCTACATTGAAGGAAATAGTGTCATATAATACCACTCACTTTCTAAAAGATTTTACTTGTTATACTATCTATCAAGGGTTTGCAGAGTTAATATATTAATGAACTCACTAATTTTTTGTAATTTTATATGGAGTTGGGTCAAAGACTCCAAGTCAAAGTGATTTATCAAAAATTATTTTATACATTAATATTTAAATATTACATGAAAGGATAAAAAAAAATTCTTTTCATAATTTAAGATTTTATTAAAAAGTCAAAATCTAAACTACTCTTCTTACCCAAAAATTCAAATATATCCTTCCTTTTCTCGGTCCTTGGTTGTGTTTTGCACTCTCTTAAAGCAACTTATCTAAACTTCAATTGTAAGTAATTTTCATCTCAAATTAAGTTTTTAAATACTTCATGTTTAAATATTTTTTGATTAATTTGATAGTTTTGGTTCATAATTATTTGATATTATAACAAATAATATCTTGAAATTATGAGTCGTTCTTTTTTTGATTTATTTTATAAATATATTGTTTGATTATTTGATTTTTATATTTAACTTTATGTGATTTGTAGATGCTTAGATTTAGTTTTGATCAATAAATAAAAAATTGTAATTGTTGAGCTTGATAATTTGCTATATAAGATCATATTTTATTTAATTATAATATCTTAGTTTATGCTAATGAGTAGTAATTTTTAACAAATTTTTATAATTTTAGATAATAAGCCATGGAAAGATATGCTAAAAGAAAAGAAATTGTCCTGCAAGACTCAGATCCTGACCAACAACAATAAATTTCTATTAATGATGGTACTTAACAATTTTCAAAGTAAAATCGTCTTGAATTGGATCTAAGTACTCTCTTGATAGATCTTGGATTGAAAAAAGAATTTCTGAATATTATCCTAATGATCAAGATGAAATGAAAACAACATATTTGTAGAAAAGACCATGTCAATCTCATGACCATAAGCTATTATTATTATTATTATAGTTATGATACTACTTATAAAAATTCTTGAGTCCGCCCTTGAATATAGTCAATGTTGATTTTTCATCAAGAATGCTGGTTTTTCTCCTAAGCAGGGACAAAGTGGGTTTAGATCTCATTTATTACATTTTTGTCTATTATTTTTCAATTCATCCACTATCATCTTTCGTATATATGGGACCTAACAATGAATTTTGGACTTTACATATATTGGAATGTGAATAAATTTATATTGAAAAGTAATAGACGAAAAAAAAAAGGAATTCTGAACCCAGAACACAGTAGTTTTATTAATATTAAGCTAAGGGCTAGAGGTTGTTTTCTAGAGTCATATTTAAGATCAAGCTTTGTAGCAAACCATCCTTTCCTGCTCATGATAAAGGAAGAGACATCTACAGTTGTGTTCTTAGTTGGAGCTGTGCAGTGATTTTTTTTTCTTTGTTTTCTAATAGATTATCACAATCTATTTTTTTTTTTTACATGAGATGAATTGTCATCAATCAAGATAAGTGAAAATTGTTTTTATAGAATTTTAGAATAGTAGTATTTATGTTGTGAACACACTCGTCCTCCTAGTTTATAAAATCAACCATTTTTTTTCACTAAAATCCTTCTTTTAAAAAATTAATTATTGGTAGAGTTTTTAAACTCCACAATCATGTTTAAAGAATTGTCACATGTTAGTTAAGATATATTAATGAAATTAATAAATTAATTAATATAATATCATATTTTGAGGATTGTTTATTAGAAGTGTCCATAGATCGAGCTGGATCAGATTGAACCCAATTTATACCTTTAAAAGTTAAGCATAAAACTTTCAATTTGTCCATTTAAGCTTATTTAAATTAAATTTATTATTAAAATATTAAAAGTATTTTAATATATTTTAAAATTAAAAGTAATAAAAAATAAAATTTTGTATTAACTTAATAATATGTAAGGCCAAGCTTGTGCTTAAGAATTTTATCCAAAAACCAACTCAAGTGGGGTTAGGTCTACAAACTTGAGGGATTGTTTGGCCCGTGGATAGATTCATGTTATTAATTAATATATAGTTGAATGATATAACAAGTGTAATTCATGTTTCCTACTCTAAATTTAAAAACTTAGATGTCAAAAAGAAATTATAGGTGATCGTCAAGTTATAAATAAAATGACAATCAGTTCATGGGCCCAAATGACAAGAGAAGAACAAGCATAGAATAGCTTTCCATTGAGGTTGTTTAATTAGATATTATTCTATAGGTGTTGGTTTTTAGTCGATTATGGTATATACTTCAAAAGGATCATATTCATGGGACCATCAAATTTGCATATTTCCCTGTTGGGGATCGAGACCGTCCAAGTTCAATTCGCGACCAACAAAAGATTCAATAAATACCTATTTTTAAGACACTTTCAACAGTTGTAGCTTTTTTTGTTTACTTTGGATTCTCTATCAAATTAAATGGTGGCCTATTCTTAAAGGAGATTCATTTACGTTTTTTTGTGATTTTAATTTTTTTCACATAACATTTTATGATTTGTTTTTTTTTTATTAGCATTCTGTTTCTAGTCTCATAAAATTATCTTGTTAATTTCATATAATAAAATTAAAAATACATTTTTAATTCAAAAATTATCTTATTGGTTCAGACTTTAAAACATTTCATGGTTATACTAGATAAAATCAATGATATAACCATGGAAATGTTGATTACAAAAATAATAAAATCACATAACATGACGTGAAAGAAATTGAATGTAAAGTTTACTCTTTTTAATCTGATAAGTTGAATTTGAAAAAAGGGAAATATCTAATTTTTAGAATTGGGATATAAACACCTAGATACAATAAGCATCATGGAGCCAAATTGTTTGGCTTCTGGTATTGTATCGGGTTTGACATGTGAAATTTATTGCGGTACATACATACTTTTTATGCAATCAAAAGGCATCAAACTCTGAGAGCCCCAAGGGCTCTGCTTCTTTTCAGAAAATCCATGGAGAACCGTATAAAGACGTTTAACTTGTGGTAGTGGTGCATGCACGTGCATGGCTATTTTTCTTTCTTTTTTTCTTTTTTTTTTTCATTTTGGAATCATTTGAAAATTTTAAAGGTGGCTGAGAAGATAAGAACAGATGTTGGGACGGGAAGGATATTCAAAGCTCTTCTTTAAGCGAGACTTTTGTGGAGCAAACAGATGTCCTCATTTTACAATCTTTTCTGTTCTTTTAGTTCATTTAACATTTGACTTCAACCTTTAACGTCCACAACCAAAAATGACTGGTAATCCCTCCTATCTCATGAATCTCTCACAATTTTTATTTTAAAATTCCAATTCCAAAGATTTAAGGTTTCGATGTTTCTTTCAAGATAAAAACTCTACATATTTGGGTTTTTTTTTTCTTTTTAATATAACAACCCAATACTTAAATTTTTTCTTTAAATTATAATAAAGTTTGGATTTTTAATTTATAAATTTCATATTCAAATATTTAGAAGAGATATAAATATAACGAAATAAAGATGGATGATCACCTTTCATTATCATTTTTTTTGGGGTAAATGAAATTTGATGGTCGATAAATTGTTGAGATATATTATGAATTCTAAAGATTAGGTCAATAAAGAGCCGTTGGTAGGACTTAAATCTAGTTCGGACTCACTATTAATATAAACAAATTTATCAATTGAATACAACACCTTGTCCATGTTACCTTTCATTGTGTAATCCAAGTATGAAATGAGATTTTTTTTTTCTTTTGTTTACAATGCAAACCAGAGTCACTCAAATAAAAGCAATATTAAAGTAGGCTAATGTTGTTAAAACGTTTACCCAAAAAAAGATGAAATTTGCTTGTTATATATATATATATATTCTCAGCCCATCAAAAGATTTCATTAATAATGAAATGTTAATTATAAAGGGAAAGATGCAATGGCCGTCCAGCCTAGACAACACTAAAATGGCCAGTACAAGTTTATAGAAACAATGAACTGAAACAAGATTAAAATGAAAACCGAGCCACGTTTAGACAGACAAAGCGCCTGTCAACAGCAACAAAGAGTAAAAAAGAGATGTCCTTAAACAAGGCAGGGAGCAAATTAGAATAGCAGAAGCCAAGTATATGGGGTTACAAAACAAAAAAAAATAAATAAATAACATTCATTCTCCCATAAAGTTTCATCCAAAATTACCTTTGGTCAGTAGTCGGCCTCTCTATTTTTTGAACATGCAAACTTTTCCTCGGTTTTTCTATTTCCTTTCCAGTCGATTCCCCATGAGAAAAGTAACCGTTTCTGGTTTTTTATCTGTTCACGTGAATGCATTTGTCCCTTTTCATTTTTGTTTCCTTTTCTTTGCAAATGTTCCCAATTTTGGCTGCTATCGTTTTCCTTTTATCCCATTCATGATTAGCCAAACTGGTACCCTCATTCCTTCATCCTGCACGCTGGCCTTGTTTTTTCTGCGCTTAAAGAGTTGTTTTTAGTGTTTAATCCCATCAAATTAATTTTTACTTAAAGTTAAATATATACAAAAATTTGATAAATCTTTTTCCTAAAATTTTTAATTAAAAGTAAGGCACGTAATTAAATTATTAATTTGGCACATGAATTAATTATTGTGGTTGACATCTAAGTACTTGATTCATTTTAAATCAAAAACCTAATAAAAAGGACATAAGCAATTTTTTTCCTAAGTTAGGTCCATTAAAAAGGATATATTTAGGGTTGTAATCCCAAATGGGGAGGCCATAAACGCAACCTAGAATCAACTGCTGCAGCATGTTTTATATTTATGTATGTGTGTATATGTAGTTGAATTACTATTTGTCTTAATTATACAAGGTGTTAAAAGGAGAGAGTAGTTGAATTACTATTTGTCTTAATTATACATTTAAAATGATATGAAAAGATTCAATTTTTTTATATATAGTTTTAAAATACAACTAAAACGGGATGTCTAAATTGGACAATCAATTATTTGAAAGTTTAAATAAATTTAACTTGTATATTTAAATTCTTGTTTATTTAAATTCCAATCAAAATAAGCTAAAAAAGAATTGATGTCTAGAATGGTAAATATGTTTAGCAATTTAAGTCAGCTGCAACATTCTTAATAAATATTGCCATATATATATA